TTCTATTCTATTCTATTCTATTCTAACTTACTTCTTGAGGCTGACGTGGGAGCAGAGCTGTCAGGTGGGAAGGAGCTGACCTGCAAAAGCTCGTCAGCCTTTTAAGTGAGCTGGAGTATTTTAAAAGCTCATTGGGCATGGTCACTGAAATCCCTTTACTTGGGTGAAGTGCGCGTAGGATTAATGAAATGAATGTTAGCAAACTGAAATTTGGCAACATGTGCTGGATGCATAAAATACTTAATAGTGTACATATAAGAAAGAGTCTCTTTTGGGGATTTGAAACTAATTTTGCATGTTGATGAAGTACCTGGTTTTATAGAGGTTGTATAGACCAGAATTTAAGAGCTTCCTTTCTGGCTTATACAACATTTTCCAAAGATTTTCATGTTTGTATATCTTCTGCATTTTGTAGATGCTAACTCATTTGTTTTGTGAAGAAAGACCCCTTTAGAAAATACTCCTCAATGTGAATATAATGTTTTTTATCTACTGCTGGTGCACAAATTAACATCAATTTGCACTATGTTGCATCTTGTTATCACTTCAGTAATCACTTAGAATGTTTGCCCCTTACTAGATCACTGTTAAAACTGGACAGTGAACTACCAAAACACAGAATTGCCAGAATGAACCAGAATGAATCTGTAATAAAACTTTCTGAGCAAGAGACAAAGAATTGTGTGTAGCTCTGTGAGTGTGTGATGACATGAGTTCTTCAAAACTAGCGCCGAAGTCAGATGACACTCCTTATGCATTGCTCATTTGCAGCGGGTGTGAGATGGTCTATTGTTTGTAATGTGATGTAAATGTTTATTGTAAGTAATGCACAGTAAACTCCTTGGGTGGAATGGTTTTATATTTAGAAGAGGTAAATCCTATTCCTGGGAGCACTTCCATGGTAGCTCCTTGCCTTCTCAATCTGATATATACATGTCTCTTTTTGTATTTATGTGTTTGTGTATAAATAACAACATTCAGTAGGTGAATTGCCTCAAAACTGCTTTAAGACTGAACTGCTCCTTGTTCTCAGTATGGTATATACATGTGTGTATGACATATAAATGCATGTAAATATATGTGTTGGACTGCCTTAAAACCCACATAAAAAAACAGAGATGCAGAGAAGTAAACAGGTTTTCAAGGGCCCAGGATGTTGGCAGAGATGAGAATATATGTCTCTTGGCTCCATCCCTTTAACGTTAAAATCATCTTTTCTCTCTGACGACATCCTAGTCAGAGAATTGTTACCGTTAATTTGATTACAAGATCATTTTAAAGCATTTTTTTCTGCCCCCGCTATCCAGCCACCCCTTTTTGGCAGTAAACCTGTAGTGTTGGGTTCATGCCCTGAAGAGAGTTTTTCAGTGTCTGTTTCGTGAAACACCTTCATTTGAAACAGCAGTAAACTGTTGTCATCTTCACAGATTATTTAAGAGTAGTGTGTAAGACAAAGAAAAACGTGTCAGCTGGAGGAAATGCTATGCAGGGCATGGAGAACATGTTATTGCTAACTTAACACAATAAAGATGCCTTTTGAAGTGTTTTCTAAAAGTAATACTCACCCTCATTCAGCACGTTTCTGTGGGTCATACCTATCCTAGTAGAAAAAAGTAAAGACGACGCATCAAACTTATGCCAGCTCATGTCTTCCTAGCAATACGAGAGTTGACGTCTTTCACAAGTTGTTGGAAATGTTGTCAAAATACAGTAGCTGAGAAGACCCACTGCCTGCTGTGAAATACTTGGCGGGCGCTGTCTTGCCAAAATTGTACAGCACCTCGGCTTCCAGGGTGCGGTGGAAAGGGATGGCAGCTGCCCAGCCAGCAGTTCTCCAGCCTTTACTGGTACAACTGAACTGTGTCAACAAGAGCTGACTTTACGCATATGTTCGTATCAATAGCAGTTTAAAATGCCTGCAGTCACAGTGTATCTTCATTTTTTAGATATACCATATTATACAGCAATACTAAGATTTATTATGTTTTTATGGAACACAAATGCACTTAAGAGATTTAAAACGTAAGCCAGACAAGATGCGTCGTGTCGTGAGGGTGAACAGATTTCTGTCCGAAGGGCCTTTCTTGGCACTTTACCGTGGAGTTCAAGGTAGAGTGAGAGAATCAGCAGATTTGATTGTTACAAAAAGAAAATGTGTTTTGTTACTTCCTTGCCTCTTGGTTACACAAAACGTACTCTGTGCTTGGGTAGAGGTTTGCAGTTGGTGAATGTTTTATCATTAAAACTGAAAGGGAAAGACAGGAGTTGCTTCTCTGAACTCTGTTTCCTCTACAGGGAGTCACTTGCCCGTGGAGCAGAAGGTAGCTTGTGGTGCATGCAGAAGAGTGCAAAATACAATAACCCAGGATATTTCCTTAGCTTCATTGGAAGTGTCCTTACAGAGTCACTATCTTGCTTATGGTTTTAGACCGAGGGGAAATGTCAAAGACAGGTGAAAGTATACCTTTAAAATCCTGGTGAGTTTAGCTTACACACTGAGTCCGACCTCATTCTGATGGGAGCTATGGAGAGCACCATCGTCGGCAAAGTCCGTAGTCCGAGTGTAGTAGTTTCTAATGTGTAGTTTGCGAAGCAGTCAGGATTGTGGGGGTAAAACTACACTGGCAAACCACCGCGCTTGGGGTGTATGTTCCAGTTGCCTGTAGTGTGGCAGTCTGGGTTGCCATCTGAAAACTTCTACTCAGTTTTAGTTTATGCTAGCAAAAACCAAACCAAACCAAAAAACCTCTTGGTCACTTTTGATTCATTTTTATATTTGTTTGCTATTTTAGACTAAAGAAAAGAAGCAAAAAAATCCCCTCAAAGTGTAAGCCGATTATTTGCTACATGCTTCATTTTTAAATAACGGAGTGTGGCTGAAGTGCTCACTTCTTGGGAATCTGAACCTTTGCCTCTGAGTACCTCTGACTGCATACGGGCAGCTGGAAAGGGACGTGACACCGCAGGTACAGCCGGGAGCGCTGCGGTGAGCAGTCGGAGCTCCCTGTCGTGAACGGTGACAAAGCACGTGATGCGTTTGAAGCAGTTGGGATGTCGTATGTAGTAAAAACCTCCTCCCTGACAAAAGGTTTCTAATTTATAGCAGAGCACTGTCCTGTCGTTGGCACTCGTTCTCGGCTTTTGGAAGTTGGCATGATGGGCTCCTTGCGTGCTGCAGGATTCTCTATGATTGTGGCCAGCTGAATGCCACCTGGATGGTTTTCCTCGGTGTTCTGCATCAGTTGGCTCTGCCTGCCGAGCTCCTCCAAGGCGTACACCGCGCTTTTGGTCCACACCTTCCCATGGTCTTGTTCGGAGGTCCCGTTTCGCCCTTGCAAACGCTCGCGTCTCCTGCGGCAGAGGAGGTGCAGGCAGCCGTAGAGGAGGATTGTGGCGATGATGAGGAGCAGGACGCCGCTGGCGAGCCAGATGCCCAGCGCCAGCTCTTTCTTGGTGTTGCTCACGGATGCCGGGTCTCGTTCCAGCGTGTTAAAAACTCTGCACTGGTCGCTGGAGGGGTTTGCGGACTGGCAGGTGACGCACAGGGTGTATGTTGTCAGTGGAGTTAGGTTTTCAACAACAAAGGAGGAGCGACTGGTGGGCACTCTCTCTTCCTTCTGAAAGCTCTTTCTCGAGTAACTCGAGAGCATGCTGTTCCAGTTAGGGTGGTACATGACGCTGTAAAAGCTGTCGGCACAACTGGCCATTTTTGGCCAAATTACCATTGCGGTGTTTCCTGTGATGTTTTGGACGGTTATTCCCATCGGGATGTTGCTTAGGTAGGTTTTTTTCTCTCCCGGTGCTGATCTCGCTGCGGAAAGGGGAGGTGTTCGTTTCCCAGGGAGGTAACTGAGAAGCTGCAGCACTGGAGATGTCGTGTGGATCTTAATCGTAGTGCTCTGTAATTTAGGAAGGGAGTTCATTAGGAAACTATGCTCTTATTGTTGGTACTGCTGCGTCAAAGTGAGAGTTGGCAGTTCATAAAGTTTGGAGTATTTTAAACTGTGTACTTTTTTTCCCCAAGTGAAAGGCTAGATGTACGCTTATAGAAATTCAACCGGAGCTGCTGCCTGTCCAGGTGATCAGTTGTATCTTGTCTCCCTGAGAGACGGTGTGCTTTGCAGAATTTGCAGTTGGGGAACCACTTCCATTCGCAGGTTTTTTTCAGATGACTGTGCACTTGCAACGGGAGTCAAGGGGGTGCTGGCCCTCATCCCCCATCCCGTTCAAAATTTGCCTCTATGTCAACTGCCTCCGTATTTGGGACAGTCCCTAGAATAAGGTCACTGGATATTTTTGTCTTACGGAATTTGTGGTTAGGTAATGTTACAGGAAACAAAACCTCTTCAAGACTGTAAAGGGGAGAGGTGAATACGCTTTGTACTTCTGAAATATATACCCCTCCCACAGGGAAAAACAAGCGATCAGAAGTTTAAAGAGGTGCATTAATAAATGCCTCTCTCCTTTGGAGCAGTGTTTGAGTATTCTCTTTAATAGAACAAACAGTTTTAATAGGAAAAAAGTTTAATATTTAACGTAATTTTATGTTAAGAGTCAAACTCTCATAAAAAAAAGTCATTGAAATCTAAACTGAATTGAACCACTGTCTGGTTTGGCATTAAACTAAAGACTGACAGATTGACCATCCAACTAATTAACTCTTTACCTGTCACACAAAATACTTGCCTAGTGAGTATGTTGATAAGTGGGGTTTGGATTTCTTTGTTTGTTTGTTTTTTAAAGGAAAGAAATGCAGCATTTGCTTTTCTCTCTAGTCTGAGTATCTTGCATTTTATTTTACTTATTTGGTGTTTTCCATAATCTCAAAGCTTGCTTTTGAGAGCAGTGAATTTTCTTATGTTAAGTGGCAACTGAGGGGTGGCAGGAGTGGATCTTGAGGGATAAATTCCTCTGGCCATCCACAAGTCTTGATTTTTGCTTGTGTCAGTTGAAAAACAAAACAGTATGTGGAAACATCACCAGATATTATTTTGTCTCCAATGTAATTTTACATCAGTTTCTTACTCGCCGATACTCTCCGTCTTTTGCTGGTGAGTTAGCACACCTGTAGCCACTGCTAGAGCAGCGGCTGTGATGATTGTACATTGGTGGCATCAGCGTCACAATATTTAGTCTTGATGCTAGTCAGCCTCTTGGAAAAGCTTTCTCAAGCTGGGCTTAGTTGGTGAAGTACACCTTTCACTGTAGATACCCTTTGGGTAGATAGTGTTTTTTAAAAAAATAACTAATACACTTTTCTGCTACGTGCTACGTGATTGTATGTAATTCTATAGTCTGTCTGCCCTGAACTAATACTCCTCCTCATAATAAAATTAACATTAGAAAACCTGCCAATATTTTGAGATTCTGAGTTTGTGTTATCACTGTAAATAGTGTAAGGAAAACATCTATTTTCTGCAATTTTTTAAATGCTTCTATTAAAGATTATCTTCCTTTCAGGACAAAAAGTTGGCTTCCGCCTTGGTAGACTTTTAATTAGAATTGTTATTTTATAACAAAACAAACCTTATTAGCAGCCAGTGGATATTTTCATTCATTGGGTTGGTTTTTTTTATTTTACAGTTGTGAGGGTAGATTTTTCAAAAGCGCCTACCTCGGCAATTTAATCTGGTTCTCTTGTAGTTTAATACTCAGTTTCTAGTGGCACTCGTGTGAAAGTTTTTTCCACTGTGAAAGTTTCTTGCTTTTTTTATGAACATAAATTCCCATGACAGTAATGCTGTATTTCATTGTTTATGTCTTCGTTATAAAAATTACTTTTTTTTTTTTTTTAATGATGGGGTTTCAGATGCTAAGTCTCCTGGCTAAATAACGATTTGCCATTGAAAATTTTCCTGATTAAGAAAGCTCACAACATTTGCTCATAACATATTCTGAAATTATTCTGTAATACTTTTATTGTGTTTTATACTAGATAGGAGGCTGGAAAAATATATATTATTTTAGTGGGATCTTGATTGTTACATTACATTAATAGTAAGAATTCTGTGACTATTTATGTATGAAAATTGTTGCTCGAGGCTTTTGGATTATACTTACTGGGAACTGGGAAGAAAAAGATGTATGTTCATTTTCATTACAATGTAAAACCTTAGATATGACTGATCTGGGTAGATGCTGCCTTTCTAATCATGTGGTAAGTGCACCCTTTTTGATACAGCAACAATATAAAGGAATTGAGTTTGCTATCGAATAAACTTATGAGACAGACACATTTTGGCATCTACCCAACTTCTGCAGGTATTAAAATCAGGCACAATAGTAAAATCAGAGCTTTTACTTGCTCATTTGTCTTCTCTTTAGCTGGTAAATCCCAATTACTTAAAATTATAATTTATTTTTATAGAACACTTCCTAACACAGTCTAGAAACAATAGTTTCATCCTCACAGCAGTAAGTTGAATGTTTGGATTTTAATTAAAAAACAATAATGCTGTTTTTTTATTATTACAAAACATCAATTATTAGAAGATACATAATTACTGGCATGCAAATGTTTGGAAAACCCATTTCATGTTTTATAGATTATAAAGTCAGTACTTACCGTCACTTCCTGACGGAAATTTCAGAACAGAGTTTTCATACGGTGATGCTGCTGCGAAAATGACATAAACACTGAATTTTCTGTATCCTTTTTCACATGAGTTATTTCCTGCCTGATCTCTGCTTGCCAGTTTGCTTTTTCTTCCCCCCAGATTCCCTGGACTGAATTCTCACTGCTTGGTGCTTTCAGTTTTGTTCTCCGATGCTGCTGGTGGCATGGTTTCTTTGTCTCTTCCACTTAAATTTATGCAAGAGCACACCTTGTCTAAAGATGCTGTTGCCTTGCTTTTCAAAGAACATAGAGGAGAAAAAATAATGTCTTTTCCCCCCTCTCTTGCTTGCCTCCCCTTGGACAGCGTGCTGCCTGAACATCCCTGTTATATGCTCTTGTGCCTGTACCAATGATGCTGTGAGTGATTAATGTTAGCACTTTGATGACATCAGCAACTAGCAAATCTCTCTCCTTTTTTTATTTGATTTAAGTAGGGGGAGGGAGCAAGCATAGCTTAAAAAAAAAAACCCCACAGAGCTCCCTCTCTCTTTCCTTCCCTTCCTCCCCCCCCAACTTTGTCAGTGGCTTCTTCCCTAAGCATTTTATGCTTTTGTGCATCATGGGGGGGGAAGCGGCGGTGGCGTGTGATGGTGTTTTCTAATCTCTTGTCACAGTTTATAAAGCTCCGCTCATCCAGTATTTACAGATGGACCACTTTAGGTACTTCCCCATGAGGGTTACATTAAAGAAAGATGTATTTTTAGATTGGCTGCCTTCTTATTGTTATGTATTGGTGAGTTTTTAAATACTGAAATCATGTTTTTAGGGCTTGCTTTTCTATGACAAATTTCTGCCGTGTGAAGAGGAGTTCCCTCCCCTTAACCTCACAGCAGTAAAATGCTTTAACCGACTGGAGTAAAATTCTCCTTGCGCTATAGGTGAAATAGATAGTTTGGACACATTTATTGTGGAGACCTACCTGACCGGAAGCATCAAAAGCAAAAGGTGGAATCTCACCTTTTAGGGACAACTGTATAAATGCTTAGTGTATCAGGACATTCATCTGCACATATTTTCCTAAGGTTTTAGTTCTCTCCCCCGTCGATGCCCCAGGCCCCTTTTCTGTAAGCAGAGAGCTACGCAAACGCACACGTTGTACTAGAGGGATGCAGCTTTAGGCTGTCCGCCCGGTGCGGTGTATTTGGAGTTTAGCCAGCTCCGATCTAATAGCAGGACTGTGTCGTGTGTTAGGAGTCTAATAATTAGCCAAGTGTCTATTTTAATTTGCGTTCACAGAAAAGATGGCTGAGTATTTGGAAATAGCCCTCCCCCACAAAAACAACACAAGCCCACGGTCCTTAGAACAGAGGTTCCCAGACTGACGGACAACCCTCCAGAGCAGGGTGACCTGCAGCAGGTTACTCAGGGACGTGTCCGGTCTCAAACATCTCCAAGGACAGAGACTCCACAGCCTCTCTGTTCGACCACCCTCACAGTAGTGAAGTTTTTTCTGATTTTAAATAGGATCTCCTGTTTGTGCCCCTTGCCCCTTGTCCTGTCACTGGGCGCTGCTGAGCAGAGTTGGCTCTATCATCTTTACTCCCCCGATCAGTTACTTATGCATGTGGATGTGATCCCTGATCCCCCTGAGCCTTCTCTTCTTCAGTCCCAGCTCTCTCAGCCTTTCCTCACAGGAAAGATGCTCCAGTCCCTTAATCATCTTTGAGGCCCAGTGCTGGACTCTCCCATATGCCTCTCCATGTCTCTCCTGTACTGGGGAGCCCATCACTGGGCCCAGTACTCCAGGTGTGTTTCGCCCAAGCTGAGTAGAGGGGATGGATCACCTCCCTTGACCTGCTGGCAGTGCCCTGCCTGATGCAGCCCCGCTGGCTGGTGGCCTGCCCTTCTGCCGGGGCCATCTTGTGGCC